GGCTTAGTTCATCGTCCAAGAACTAACAGGGTCTGACTCTGCTTAGCTTCTGAGATCAGACAAGATTGGGTGCATTCAGGTGGTATGGTGGTAGACTGGGTGCCCTTTGTCTAATTACAGGAGTCCTTAAAAGCAGAATACCTTTCCCAGCCATGGTCAGAAAGAGATGTGAGGATAGAAGAGGCAGGAAAAATTTGAAGTGTGAAAGGGACACAACTTGCCGTGGCTGGCTGTGAAGATGGAAAAAGGGGTCATGAATCAGGGAATGTGGGTGGCCTCTAGAAACTGGGAATAGAAAGGGAACAGATTCTCTCTTAGAGGCTCCAGATGGAATGCAGCGTCGTTAGCACCTTGATTTCAGCCCAGTGAAACCCATGTGGGGCTTTTGATCTGTAGAGCTGTAAGATGATAAATTTGTGTTGTTTCAGCTGCTGAGTTTATGGTAATTTGTTATGGCAGTAACAGGAAAGGAATTCGACAGTTCTTCTCTGTTACTGGGCACGGGAGGGAATTCTACGTCCCCACCTTCATACAATTGAGTGGGACCACATGAGTAATCCCAATGAATGAGCTGTGATTGGAAGGGCTGGGCCAAAGCTGTTTTGCTTGCATGAGACCATTCAATGCTTTTCCTCTTGCCTTGCCTCAGTGATCAAGGATGCCCTGGGTTACGGCTGGTGCTACAAGATGGTGAACATCTCTCAGCCTGGGTCCTTGACTGTGTGGAAAACCAGCCTTTGCCAACTTGCACGAAACATGTATATGAGCAAGAAAGAAACTTTGTGTTTTCTTTTACTTTTTACTTTTTTCTTTCTTTTTTTTTTTTTTTTTTTTTTTTTTTTTTTTTTGAGACAGGGTCTTGCTCCAGGCTGGAGTATCGTGGCCCAATCATAGTTCACGGTAGGCTGGACCTCCTGGACTCAAACAATCCTCCTGCCTCAGCCTCCCAAGTATGAGGACTACAGGCAGGCACACACCACGATGCCTGGCTAATTTTTGTATTTTTTGTAGAGATGGAGTATCACCACGGTGCCCACACCAGTCTGGACCTGGGCTCAAGTGATCACCAGCCTCGGCCTCCTAAAGTGCTGAGATTATAGGCATGAGCCACCACGCCCAGCCAGAACTAAATAAACTCCATAGAGCCAACAGAGCTAGCCTGACCTGCCTAATGGAAGGTCTCGATGAAGTAGGGAAACTGGCTTGCCATTACATGAAAAGGTGTGTTCCAGGATGAGAGAAGAGCAAGTGCAAAGGCCCTGGGGCAGAGTGTGCTTTTTTTTTTTTTTTTTTTTTTTTAAGACTGAATCTTGCTCTGTCGCCCAGACTGGAGTGCAGTGGCACGATCTTGGCTCACTGCAAGCCCCACCTCCCGGGTTCACACCATTCTCCTGCCTCAGCCTCTGGAGTAGCTGGGACTACACGCGTCCGCCACCATGCCCGGCTAATTTTTTGTATTTTTAGTAGAGACGGGGTTTCACTGTGTTAGCCAGGATGGTCTCAATCTCCTGACCTCATGATCCGCCTGCCTCGGCCTCCCAAGTGCTGGGATTAGAGGCGTGAGCCACCGCGCCTGGCAAGAGTGCTTGGTTTTTAAAGGAACAGGAAGAAGACCAGTGTGGCTGCAGTAGTGTGAATGAGGAAGATTTATAAGAGGTGAGATCGGTCACGTGGTGGAGGTAGATCATGCAAGGCTTTGTAGAGAAGGGCAGGGACTTTAGGTTTTATTTTGAGAGTAATGGGAAACCATTCAAGAGTTTTTTTTTTAATTTTTATTTTTTTTTCTGCATTAAAAAATGCAGAAGAAAAAAAAAGTTTATTTTTAGCAATGGGGTCTCACTCTGTTGCCCAGGCTGGAGTGCAGTACTACGATCATAGCTCACTGCAGCCTCCAACTCCTGGACTCAAGCAATCCTCTGCCTCAGCCTCCCAAGTAGCTGGGACTACAGGTGTGCACCACCATGCCCATCTATCTGTTTTTTTTTTTTTTTTTTGTAGAGATGGGGTTTTGCTATGTTGCCAAGTTTCCTGGTCTTGAACTCCTGGTTTCAAGTGATTCCCATCTCAGCCTCCCAAAGTGCTGGGGTTACAGGCGTGAACCACCATGTCTGTCCTGACATGTTTTAAAGTGATCATCCTGGCTTCCACGTGAAGAAGATTTTTAGGGGGTGGTGGTGAGATCAGTGTGGGCACTATTGTAATAATCCGGAAGAGCAGTGATGGTGGCTTGGACGAAGGTGGTAGCAATAGAGGTGGTAAAAATAGTTGAATTATGGGAGATATTTTGTAGATGTGGACAGGATTTGCTCATGGATTGGATATGAAGGTGGAGTGTGGGGGCAGTGAATGCCTAACTGAATTGGCTTCAAAAGAGGATGAAAATAACAAAGATAAGGAATTTAGTTTTTCTGGAACAGAGGACCCTTCTTAGAAAATCCCTTGGCCAGGCACGGTGGCTCACGCCTATAATCCCAGCAATTTGGGAGGCTGAGGTGGGTGGATCACCTGAGGTCAGGAGTTCGAGACCAGCCTGGCCGACATGGGGAAACCCCGTCTCTACTAAAAATACAAAAATTAACCGAGTATGGTGGTGCGTGCTGTGATCCCAGCTACTCAGGAGGCTGTGAGTCAGGAGAATCGCTTGAACTGAGGAGGCAGAGGTTGCAGTGAGCCAAGATCGCTCCACTGCACTCTAGCCTAGGTGACACAGTGAGACTCCATCTCAGAAGGAAGGAAGGAAGGAAGGAAGGAAGGAAGGAAGGAAGGAAGGAAGGAAGGAAGGAAGGGAAGGAAGGCAGGAAGGAAGGAAGGAAGGAGAGAGAGAGAGAGAGAGTATAAGTTGTTATGTTGTTGTTGTTAAGGTTGTTGTTGTTGTTGTTGTTGTTGTTGTAAGTTGTTGTTGTTGTTGTTGTTGTTAGTGAAGGAAGGAAGGAAGGAAGGAAGGAAGGAAGGAAGGAAGGAAGGAAGGAAGGAAGGAAGGAAGGAAGGAAGGAAGGAGAGAGAAAGAGAGAGAAAGAAAGAAAGAGAAAGAAAGAAAGAAAGAGAAAGAAAGAAAGAAAGAAAGAAAGAAAGAAAGAAAGAAAGAAAGAAAGAAAGAAAGAAAGAAAGAAAGAAAGAGAGAGAGAGAAAATCCCTTAAGACTGGTCGCGGTTGCTCAGGCCTATAATTCCAACACTTTGGGAGGCTGAGGCAGGAGGATTGCTTGAGCTCAGGGGGTTGAGACCAGCCTGGGTATCATAGTGAGACCCCATCTCTACAAAAAAAAGAAAAGAAAATCTCTTAAAAGACTCCTACTTCAGAGATGCCCCCACCCTGAGTTCATCTGGAGGCTAAGGGGAGGTTCCCCCAGATTATGTAACATTTTATTGGTGGCATGGGTGTCAAATAGTCTCCCTGGAGGCAATTTCTTGCCTTTTTCCATCTAACCAAGAGCAAACCCAGAACGTTTGCTGGAAGGTACCTTTCTTCCTGCCTAGTATCCTGTGACATCATGGCATATCCTGACCCCCCATTGGCTGAGAGCCCCACCTTTCTCTCAGGGAAGGAAATTATTAGGCAACACAAATCTGACTAGCACCCAGTTACATCATAGGAGTGTGCTTTTTGTATTGACCACTTTGTTCCAGGTCCAAATGGACCTTAGGCCAGCATGGTGACTCATGCCTAAAACCCAGTACTTTGGCAGACCAATGTGGAAGGATCACTCGAGCCCAGGAGTCCAAAACCAGCCTGGGCAACATAGCAAGACCTCGTCTGTACCAACAACAACAAAATTAGCCAGGCATGGTGGCCTGTGCCTGTGGTCCTGGCTACTTGGGAGGCTGAAGTGGGAGGACTGCTTGAGCCTAGTAGATCAAGGCTGCAGTGAACTGCCATAGAGCCACTGCACTCCAGCCTGGGCAACAGAGTGAGACCCAGTCTCAAAAAAACTAAATAAATAAAATAAAATAAAATAAAAATTTTTGACTGGGCACGGTGGCTTATGCCTGTAATCCCAGCACTTTGGGAGGCCTAGGTGGGCAGATCACCTGAGGTCAGGAGTTCAAGACCAGCCTGGGCAATGTGGTGAAACCCCATCTCTACTAAAAATACAAAATTAGCCAGGTGTGGTGGCGTGCACCTGTAGTCCCAGCTATTTGGGTGGCTGAGGCAGGAGAATTGCTTGAACTAGGGAGGTGGAGGTTGCAGTGAGCTGAGATCATGCCATTGCACTCCAGCCTGGGTAACAAGGGCAAAACTCCATCTCAAAAAATAAATAAGTAAATATAACTATAAATAAAATACATTTTTTTAAAAAGAGAAAGAAACAAACAAATGGACCTTAAATCACATCTCTTCCTCTAAGACTCCCTGAGTACCTGCTCAGTGACTCTCCTGAAAAGATCACCCAAATTTGAGATTATGTTGTTTGCTGTGGGTGCAGGGGCAGAGGTCAGGGTGGCAAGGAAGGTCCCAGGCCGTGGCAACCTTCCATTCCGTGGTACTTACCGCTTCCTGCCTTTTGAGCCACTCCCCTCTGGCTGCAGGTAGCCAATTGGGGTGGGAATACAATTCCCCTTAGCACCAAGTTATGTCATACCACTCTGTGGCTTCCGATTGGCTATTCTCTCAAAAATGAGTCACTCAAAGTCTCTTAATTCCTTTCTCAGAGCCTATCCTGAGGCCAATCAGAAACCAAAAGTTTCTACATCTGGAATTTTCTAGAAATCTGCAACTGCTGTCCTTCCCTTTGTGAGATTTCCCACCTTTTCCAAACAAGCCCCGCCCATTGGCCTTTGGCCTATCATCAGTCAACACCAATCTGACTAGCACCCAATGACGTCATAAGAGCTCTCTCATTGGATTGGCCACTTTGTCAGGGTGCTGTGGTGCTGTGGTCCTACCTTCAGCTCTGAGTCAAGGCCTTGTTCGCTTCCCTGTAGAGACGGTACTGAGTCAAGGCCTTGTTCGCTTCCCTGTAGAGACGGTGCCAGCATCGATCAGGGGTCTGTAGACAAAAATTCCCCAAGATTTGAGACTTTATTGGGGGAAATAGATCACTGGCGGGGAATAAGCCACAAGCCAAAGGAGAAACAGTTGGAACCAGTAGTCCTCTTTGCCGCCTTTTGCCAAAAGTTCCGCACGCCTGCGTGGCGTGGGCGCATGCATAGTGACGTCGGGGCTCTGCGACGTCTTATTGGCTCTCTACGGCGCACCGTCAAGGTATAAGGCTCAGCTCCCAGTCGCTCCCAAATTTCTTTGTTGGCATTGGAGGCGGCCGCAGCCCACATCTAATGCTCCGGCCTGGGGCTGGATGTGGGTTCCCGCACGCCGCGGCAGCCCCCGGCACGCTCCTCCTGCTGCAGCCGCCTCAGGGGCCGGGCCCAGCGCGGCCTCCATGGCAGCGCGAGGCCGTGGCGGTCTAGGATGAGGCGCGTGGGGTCGGGGCCGCCGACCACGCTGCCCAGCAGCAGGTAGTCGGTGCCCGGCTGTAGGCGGAGGCAGCCGCAGGCCAGGTCGGCGCGGGGCACCCAGGCGTCCTGGTCGCCGCGTCGCACGAGCTGCGCCCGCTGCTTGTAGACGGCCTGCACGCGCACGGCCAGCCGCCGCCATGCCGGGCCTGCCGCCTCAGACGCTAGCACCTGCGCCCGAAGAACTGTGGGGAGGGGAGATGTCAGCCCAGGTCATGGGGAGCTTCCAGGGTACCTCTGGGTCTCGTGGGGTCAGTCACAGTGGGCAGGAGCCCGAGATCGGTGGGTGAGCTGCTGGTATCGCAGTGGGGAGAGAAACCTTGAACTTTTGAGAGTTTGACCCTAAATCGTGAGGGGTGGGGCCCGCTGGAGGAAACACCTCTGAGACAAGGAGTTAAACTACAGTAGGTGGTGCTGGGGACAGGGCAGAGGACGCAGGTCCAGGGTCTCTAATACAGTGGGGTCAGAAGGTATCAATGGTGGAATTCTTGGGAAGGAGGGGTCACATTACTGGGGAAGGGACTCTGGGATACATTTGGAGGACCAGAAGGAAGAGATTGGTCCTTGGAATGTGAGGGCTGAGGTCATACTGATAGTGATTCAGAAAAACATAATTTTTTTTTTTTTTTGAGACGGAATCTTACTGTATTGCCCAGTCTGGAGTGCAGTTGTGTGATCTCAACTAACTGCAGCCTCCGCCTCCTGGGTTAAAGTGATTCTTGTGCCTCAGCTTCCTGGGTAGCTGGGTTTACAGGATCCTGGCACCGCACCCTTTTGTATTTTTAGTGGAGACGGAGTTTCACCATGTTGGCCAGTCTGGTCTCGAACTTCTGACCTCAAGTGATCCGCCCACCTCGGCCCCCATAAAGTGCTGGAATTATTGGCGTGAGCCACCGTGCCCAGCCAGAGAAATGTGCTTTCTGAGAGGCTGGGTGGAACTCTGACTAGCCAGCTGGGTCTGCGGGGCAGGAGATCCCTGTGGAAGGTGGGGAAAAGCTTTCCACTTTTGAAGGCCTAGAACACTAGTGACCAGATGAGGATCCTGAGGGAGAAGAAGTCTGCGGTCCTATACATTGAGAGAAATAGCTGGCGTTGGTCTAGATTTGTTGGCTGGGCCGAACTCCTGAGTGTCTTAGGAGAGCTGAATAGCCTGAGGTCATAGACCCCAGGGTCATGGAGCCCATGTGGACTGGGGATTAGGGAACTGTGGGATAAGTCTTTATGGGGATTGGGACGAAGGCTCAAATATCTGGGACCATGAAGGGAAGCAGAAAGGGTCTCTGAGATAGGGTGGACAGGGCAAGAACTCATTCCACTCAACCAGTTCCCCTAACTCTTCCATCCCTCAGAGATGTCAGGCTGAAGGGGATGATGAAACTCTGCAAGCCCAAGAACATAGTGAAAGAGGAGACACAGGAAGGTAGTGAATGCCCCCTCCCCACTTCCCCTCCCCATTTGTCTTCTGCCCCATCAATTTCTAGATCAGGAAGGGGCCCTTTGGAATCCAACGCTCCTTGCCATTTAAAATGAGAAAGTGGAAGGCCAGAAAGGGGGTGGCTTAGAAGCAGTCATCAGAACCAGTTGTGTAGCCTTCAGCTATCCTGTCTCCCCAGTACTCACCATAGTCCTGCTGGCAGTACCTCCGAAGGCTCATATATACCCTGGTGTCCGACATATTGCAGTAGTTTTGACACTGAGGGTCTGGGGAGGGTCAGGCTGTCTGCAGTGGGCTCCTGGGGCTTAGACCACAGCCTTCTGCCCCTGCCCATCCCTCCATTCCATCTTGATGGCCAGCTGGGGCACCCAGACCTTTGGGACTGGGCTCAATGGGTGACCCATGTATCCCCATTTGGGGACCCAGTCAGCCCATCCCCAGTCCCACTTGCCACTCAGGGACCTCCATGCCAGACTGTCTTACCAGAGCTATAAGCACCAGGAGTAGTGGCAAGGGTGGTTGTTGCTTCTGGAATTCCTGTGAGACCAAAGGAGAAAGTAACCTCTTAGTAATTTCCCCCAGGATTCCCCTGCCCCTGCCCCGGGAATGCAGGCACCCAAACTCTTTAAGTGTTTATTCCTTTAGGACTCAAGAGTGCAAGCATCCCGTGCCTTCCTCTCCTGGGACGCAGGTGTCCAGGCCCCAAGCCTCCTTTTCCTCAAGAGTCCAAAACTTCAGTCCCTGCTTATCCGAGGGCCCAGAGTCCAGCCTCCAGCCTTGGGCTTTCAATTCCCAAGGCCCCAGCCCTCACTGCACCTGCTCACTGGAGACCTGGGATGTCTCCTTCCCGTTCTACTCAGGCTTGTGGCCTGGCCCCTCAAGACTCACGCTGGCAGGGCATCCTGGGGGAGCGGCTCTGCTGGTAGCCAGGGCCACAGCGGTTGCAGGTCAGGCCTGTGACCCCTAACTTGCAGGTGCACTGCCCACTGGTCTGGTTGCAGGTTCCTCCTGTTGCCCCAATAGGGTGGCACTGGCAGGCTACATGAGCAGAGGAGCTGGGGGCATGGGGTATCGGGGCCCCAGATGCCCCTCCTAATTCCACAATGTCTCCTCCCTCAGCCTGGGGAGTCCAGGCCCAGCCCCTCTTCCCTTAGACCCAGGAGTCCAGGCCCAGCCCCTCTTCCCTCAGACCCAGGAGTCCAGGCCCAGCCCCTCTTCCCTCAACCCCAGGAGTCCAGGTCCCCAGCCCCTCCTCCCTCAGATCCAGGAGTCCAGGCCCCCAGCCCCTCCTCCCTCAGACCCAGGAGTCCAGGCCCCAGCCCCTCCTCCCTCAGGCCCCGAGTCCAGGTCCCCAGCCCCTCCTCCCTCAGACCCAGGAGTCCAGGCCCCCAGCCCCTGCTCTCTCAGACCCAGGAGTCCAGGCCCAGCCCCTCCTCCCTCAGTCCCAGCCCCTAGCCCCTCCTCCCTCAGCCCTAGGAGTCTAGCCCCGCCTCTGTTCCCCCCAGGTCTGTCTACAGGCCACACTCACCCCTGCAGGCCCTGCGGCTGGACATAGGCTGGCTAGGGTCCCTCCAGAACCCTGGTTGGCAGTAGTGGCAGTGCCGCCCGGCTGTGTGGTGGCGGCACCGCTCACAAACACCCCCACTCCGGCCGCCCGACAGCCTGAACAGCTCAGAGTTGAACCGGCAGCGTCGGGCGTGCTGGTTGCAGGAGCAGGCTACGAGCAAGATGGGGTGGGGGCACATCAGGGCCAGGTATGCTCCTCTCCAGTCCCCAGCTTTCTTCCCATGGCCCTGCCCTCATGAAAGGAAGCAGTGAGTGTCCAAGGTAGAAGAGAATGCTTGGGTCTCTCTAGCTAAGCCTGGTTCCCAGGACATTTCCATTCTCATCTTTTTATTTATTTATTTATTTTGTTTATTTTTTTGAGACGGAGTCTCGCTCTGTTACTCAGGCTGGAGTGCAGTGCACGACCTCGGCTCACTGCAACCTCCACCTCCCAGGTTCAAGTGATTCTCCTGCCTCAGCCTCCCAAGTAGCTGGAACTACAGGTGCATGCCACCACACCTGGCTAATTTTTTTTTTTTTTTTTTTTGTATTTTTAGTAGAGACGGGGTTTCACCATGTTAGCCAGGATGATCTTGATCTCCTGACCTCATGATCCACCTGCTTCGGCCTCCCAGAGTTCTGGGATTACAGGCATGAGCCACTGTGCCTGGCCCCTCATCTTTTAAATGGGTAGGCCGGGTGCAGTGGCTCATGCCTGTAATCCCAGCACTTTGGGAGGCCAAGGTGGGTGGATCACCTGAGGTCAGGAGTTCGAGACCCACATGGCCAACGTGGCAGAAACCCATCTCTACTAAAAATGTAAAAATTAGCTGGCTGTGGTGGCTTGTGTCTGTAGTCCCAGCTACTCGGGAGGCTGAGGCAGGAGAATCTCCTGAACCCGGGAGGTGGAGGTTGCAGTGAGTCAAGATCGCGCCACTGCCCTCCAGCCTGGCGACAGAGCAAGACTCCATCTCAAAAAAACAAACAAACAAAAAACAAAAAGAGTGGGCTATGGCCTGTGGAATCAGACCCTGTTAGCTTTCTGTCTTTCTGACTGTATTCCCTGGGCAAGTGATTTCTCCCTTCTGTAGTTTGATTGGCTGTGAAATGGCATTTATAATGTTTACTTCATGAGGCTTAAATGAAATGAAGTGGATAGAAAGTGCTTAGCCCAGGCCTGGCGGAGAGCAATTACTTGGCTGTCTAGCATTCCCATGTGCAGGGCACCCTGTGCTAAGTGTTTGATGTATTTCATCTCCACAAGGGTTCTATGAGGCTGGCACTGTTATCACCCCCATTTTACAGAGGGAGAAAGCTGAGGCACAGAGAGGTACAGCTAGCAGGTAGTTGGAGGCAGGGCTTAAACATGGGTCTTGTAGCTTGAGAGTCTGAGCTCTTAGCTCACTCCAGTAATCCTCATATGAAGATTATGCTAAATAATAATAAATATGCATTATTCTGGGAGCCTTTGTCAGGTTTTTTAAGGTGGCTCTCAAACCTTACTACTCGTCAGAATTACCAGGGAAATGTTTTGTTGTCGTTTTTCTTAAAAACACATTAGCAGGGCATAGTGGCCCATACCAGTAAGTCCCAGCTACTCTAGAGACTGAAGTGGGAGGATCACTTGAGCCCGGGAGTTGGAGGCTGCATTGAGTTATGATTGCACCACTGCCCTCCAGCCTGGGCAACAGAGTGAGACCTGTTGCAAAAGGTCTCAAAACAACAAACAACAAAAGCAAAAACCCAAAACAACAACAACAAAAGCCAGATTGCAGGGCTCATCCCTAGGCTTTCTGATGGGTCCAGGGATCTGTATTTCCAGCAAGCACTGCAGAGTGAGATGCTGATGCAGGGGGTTCATAGACCACTTTTTGTGTGAGACAGGGTCTCACTCTCGCCAAGGCTGGAGTGCAATGGCGCCATCATAGCTCACTGCAGCCTCCAACTCCTGGGCTCAAGGGATCTTCCCACCTCAGCCTCCTCAGTAGCTGGGTCCACAGGCGTGCACCACTGCACCAGGCTACCTAAAATTTTTTTTTTTTGTAAAGACGGGGACTCATTATGCTGCCCAGGTTCATGGACACTCTTTGAAGAGACTTGGACAGGGTGTGTTGACTCTAAGAAGTTTGAAAGCCCTGGACTGGCAGGTCCCTGGGAGCCCGGAAGAGTTGCAGGATGATCAGGGAGCTCAGACAGCTGCGTGTTCTTGGGAAAACGACTCGCCCTCTCCCAGCCTCTCTTTTCTCCCTGTCTAGAGAGAATCTAGATCCCTCCCTCCCAGGGTTTTTGTGGGCATTCGAGGTGGCAAAGGTATTCAGATGCTCAGTGGGTTGAGTCAGGCTTTGGATTCTTTCTGACCCAAGGGTAATTGCTTCACCTCACTTCCCCTGTGGAAAACTCAGATGAGGGAGGGGAGATGCAGACCAGGATGTCTGTGAAGCCCACAGCTCTGCCGCAGGCATTAGTCTCACCTGGCCACCCTGACCTTTCTCCACCGCAGCATTGTCAGTCTCCTACCCGGGTTTGGAGGGCACTGCCCTGCTCAGTCTGGGAGAATGTGGTGACCCTCAGGAGGACAGCCTCCCCAGCGCCCAGGCCCTGTCCAGGCCCAGGATGAAGGCCGCCTCATCCTCAGGCCAGGTGAGTCTCACCCCTCACTCCCCTGCTTAGGTAAAAGATTTGGCCAAAGAATGGGGATGGTCTGTAAGTTAGCCCATGTGATCTTCATGTATGAAGAAATAAAGGGGCAGAGGCCAGGCACAGTGGCTCACGCCTGTAATCCCAGCATTTTGGGAGGCTGAGGCTGGCGGATCACCTGAGGTCAGGAGTTCGAGATCAGCCTGGCCAACATGGCGAAACCTCATCTCTACTAGAAATACAAACTTAGCTGGGCATGGTGGTGTGCACCTGTAATCCCAGCTACTCAGGAGGCTGAGACAGGAGAATGGCTTGAACCCCAGAGGCGGAGGTTACAGTGAGCCAAGATGGCACCACTGCACTCCAGCCTGGGTGACAGCAAGACTCCGTCTCAAAAGAAAAACAAAGAAATAGAGGGCTGGGAGGCAAAGAGCATGGGAGATGGAGAGGGAAGGCCAGGGTACACTTGCACACATGTGTGTGTCTGTGTCTGTTGGTAGAGTTACCTCCCAGGACCTCAGACCCTCTACCAAGTGTCTCAGGCTGGAGGAGGGAGGGGGTCAGGGCCAGAAGGAACTGACACTGGCTGTCTCTGAGGAGGGGCTGCTGGAGAGAGGTAGGGAAGGCCCGGTCTGGAAGCACCTTCGGGAAAGAGGACATCTCACGGGACATTCCTGGGGGGCACCTGTCCAGCTGGATAGACCAGTGGATTGTTGCAGCATCTAGGAACTCAGGGCTCCCTGGGTTCAATCCCTTGCTGGCAATGAGACTTAGGGCAAGTGACCTCTCTTTGAGCCTTACCTTCTCAGCTGGGGAGTGGTGACTTTGGCCAGCGCTCAGGAAGCCGTTTCTTTCTGCCAGGTACCACATTGGGCTTTATTTAAAGGCTTTATGTATGTTAATGCATTTAATTTTCACTACAGCCTGTAAAGGATGTGCTGTTACTATCCCCACTCTATGGTGGAGGAAACTGAGGCACTGAAAGGTTAGGTCACTTGCTCAAGCTCTCACAGCGGGTAAGCAGAGCAGCCGGGATTCACGCTCAAATAGTCTGGCTGCCAGGCCACCAGGGCCGTGCTCCTGTCTGTTACCTCCTGTCTGCCACCCTAGAGCACCTGGTGTGACAGTACCTGGCAGGAGCTTGGCAGGGATGGGCTGAGACCCTAGAACTTGGCTTCCTGAGCCCAGATCCTGGCCCTGCCACACGCAGCCACTGTGTGTCCTTGTGCAGGGGACTTCTGAACTCTAGCCCTGAGTCTCCTCATCTGTAAAATGGGCCTGATGACAGTCCCTGCCTGGCACACAGTAGGTGATTGATAAATATGTGTTTAATGACCGAATACTTTCCCCTTGTGGTTGGTTTGAGGAGTCAGGTACCATCCAGCTGCCCTGTTCCCCTACAACTGTTCAATAAATATTACCCAAGTACCTGCATCCAGCCAGGCCCTGGGATGGGTGCTCGGAAATAGTTATTATATCATCATCATCACCACCACCATAATCACCACTATCGCCATGATCACCATCACCACCATCATCATCACCACTACCATCATCACCACCATCACCATCATCACCATCACCACCACCATCACCATCACCATCATCATCATCATCACCATCATCACCACCATCATCACCATCACCACCATCACCATCACCGCCACCATCACTGCCATCACCACCCACCACCACCATCATCCACCCTGTCATCACCATTATCCACCCCCACCGTCATCACCCCACCCACCACCACCACCACTCCATCCATCCACCACCATCACCATCATCACCCACCATCATCCATCCACCACCACCATCATCACCACCATCATCACCACCACCACCACCATCATCACCATCACCACCACCATCATCATCACCACCACCACCATCACCACCATCACCACCATCATCACCACCATCATCACCATCACCACCACCACCATCATCACCACCACCACCATCACCATCACCACCACCACCATCCTGCCATCACATACCATCACCACCATCATCATCCCATCACCATCACCATCACCACCATCACCACCACCATCACCACCATCACCACCATCATCATCACCACCATCATCACCACCATCATCACCATCCCCACCACCATCACCACCACCATCACCACCACCACCATCATCACCATCATCACCACCACCACCCCCACCACCATCATCACCATCACCATCACCACCACCACCACCACCACCATCACCATCATCACCATCACCACCACCATCATCACCACCACCACCACCATCACCACCATCACCACCATCATCACCACCATCATCACCATCACCACCACCACCATCACCACCATCACCGCCACCATCACCACCACCACCACCATCACCACCATCACCGCCACCATCACCATTATCACCACCATTGTCATCACCATCATCATCGCCATTACCACCATCACTACCATCATCATCATCATCACCATTATCACAGGCTGATGAGTGTTGGGGAGAGGCTGAGCCCCTCATGAGCAGACAGGCCCATGTGTAGCTGAGATACAGGACTGGCTGCAGGGAGGAGGTACAGAGAGGACTGAGTCTGAGACTGGGGTGAAAGGCAAGGAGCACCCAGTTCCAGGGAGGGAAGGGAACATCCTGCTTCCACAGGGACAAAGGACCCAGTGGCAGGCAGGCAAAGGTAGGGAGAGTACAGGGCGCAGGACTCACGTAGGCAAGGGTGGGGGTGCCGGGGCGTAGCAGGCCGCCAGGGCCAGTCTCGATGGGACGGGCGGCAGCTCTCGCACCCCGGGCCAGTGGTATGGTGGCGGCAGTGGCAGCGGGGAGGCCGGGCACGGGCGGCACAGCGGGCAGCATGGCCATGGCACTGGCAGCGGCCTCTCAGCCCAGCCGCCGCCAGCCCGGCCTGGCCCCCGAACTCCACGCGGAGGTGGCGGGCCACCACAGTGGCCTTAGGATCTGGTGTGGAGTGGAAGGTCACCCTTTCAGGGCCCCCCAAGGCCCCAGGCCAGGCGGGTCTGTGCCACAGCAGCCTCCAGGGACCCCCTGAGGCCCAGGCAGCAGACAGGATGAGGGCTGGGGGTCCTGGGGTGCAGAAGCGAAGGCTGACAGATGTCAGGAGGAAGGAGCCACCCAGGGCCAAGGTTAGGCTGCCATTGCAGGTTTCCCCGGGGCCAAGGTGGTTTCCTGGGGACAGGGCACAGGCCTGAGGGCAGGAGGCCGCCACGGCAGCCAGCTGTGTCACTGGCGGGAGGCAGAATTGGGGGCGGCCCTGTGGATCGTAGCATGGGTCCGCAGTGGCCTGGCCCAGGAGGAGCAGGAGGGCAAAGGTCACGGGCATGGTCACAGCAGAGCCAGCACCTGGAGGGAAGAGAGGTGGCTGGGCTGGGGACCTCAGCCGCAGCCTCCACCCCTCCTGGAGGCGTCCTGTGGAATTGGAGCATTCCACCCCCAGCCCGTCCAGGCCTGTCCCCGGCTGCATGGAAGCGAGGAAAATAGTTCCATCTGGGGAGAATTACTGTTTACATAACCCAAAGGGGAAAGAACGCAGACAAAATCGAGAATTTTGCCTGAACTAATCCGTAGCTTAACACCCCAGAGTTATCCATCAGTGTCGAGGGGCAGGGGGCCCTGGGGAGCAGTGAGCGGCTGGAGCAGAGGGGCTGGCCAAGGCCAACAGACGTGGAAACCTAAAGAGGGACATGGAGAAAGCAGGGCTGGGCAGGAGAGGGGGCTTAGGGATAGTTGAAGACTCAGTCACAAAGAAACAGAGGCAGAGAGAGGATAGCCAGCCCGGGGGAGGGGCTCAGCACAGAGAAGTTGCTGCAAAGACAGAGGAACAGACAGGAGGCCGAGAGGCCGAGACAGAGGCCAGGCACCCAGAGGCCACAGGGAGCCGGGAGACTGAGGCTCGGATAGCCTGGGGGCTGGGATAGGCAGGCAGGTGGGCTCAGAGACACCCAGCCCAGCAGGCCCTGGGGAGGGGAGGGAAGGGGACAGGCTAGGGTTGCCTGGCGGGGGATCAGAAGTGAGAGACCGAGGCCCAGGCTTGTGGGGATCAGAGCCATGGCCTTTCCCACATGGGGCCCTAACCTTGTTTTCCACACCCTGGGCACGGAAGGGGATTATCACCAAACAACCCGGCCTCTCTGCCACCCACCCACCCACCCCCATTGCCCCACCCTTAACCCTTTCCCACCCCAGTGCAAAGCCCAGAGAGCTGAGCTGAGGAAAGGGATGCTGGGAGCTAGAACCTGGGTGGCTCTGGGGCTTGGGAGCGGGACAATGGGATCCCCATGGGGTCAGGAGAAGCAGACACCTGGGTTCCCTTCAGAACTCAGGGTGTGGGGACCGGAAGTTAGAGTTCTGGGACTTTCTGGTCACCTCAGCCCCCACCCTCTGTCCTGGGCCTCAGGGCCTAGAGACCAGAGTCTCTGCCTTCTCCACCCATCCAGAGTTCCCCAGAGCAGATGGGGGAACAGATGTTGGGGGTGGGGGGTAATGAGGAAGAGAGAGACAGGAAAGCAGGAGCTGGGACAGGGTAGGGTGCCAGATGCCAGGGAGCCCGTGGGGGCAGAAGCCCAGACCCCAGGAATGGTAGGAACTGGGAAAGACTGGACTCTGAAATGCCCCCACTTTCCCCTTCCAGGGCCAGCAGCCTCTTGTGAGGAGCTCACTGTGGACTGGGGGCCTCAGAGCCTTTCCAGGCCCTTGGCTCTGAATCTGCACCCAGGCATGCCCTTGGTCTGGGCATCTCTAGGGCACCCTGGGGGTAGGGGTAGGCCACACCTGCCCCAGCCTGGCCTCACAGCCCATGTCCCCACTGCTGTTGGCCACATGCAGACGCTGCCTCCCCTGGCCCCAGATGACAGGCCTCACCCTCTGCCCTCCCAAGGAGCCTGGTGCCATTTTGCACCCACTTGGGTGACGGCCGCCCGCCTGGCCCTCAGCGGCATCCTGTTAAGGACCAGCCCCCCATGTCCCCTTTCTCTCTTGCTGGATAGTTCAGGGGGTGGCACCCTCTGGCCCTTAGCACCTTGAGGAACCAGGATGTGAGTTCCCTAGTGTTCCTGGGAGATCCAGAAACTAGTCATGGCCCACAGAGAGCCCATACCCCCCTTTAAGAAACAGAGTCCAGCTTTGCTTCCAGCAGATCCATAGGAGGCCTGCCTGGGCGGCGTGGGGTCCATCTGGGACCCAGGCTTCCTTTCCCTGGCTCTTGGCATGCACCCCCTACCCGAGCCCTGAGGCCCCGACATTGGCCAAACCTGCACTCAAGAAGACAGCGTCCCGCAGCCAGTTCCCCGCAGGCTCTTCCTCCAAGCTGTGGCGCGGTGGGCTCTCAGGAGGGAGTGGCGTGGCTGTTCTCAGGCCCCAGGCTAGTGGGGTTTCTGGGCTGGGCGGGGGCTCAGAGCGGAGCCCGCAGAATCTAACACCACCACCCCCCTCCCGCCCCAATCCCCTCACCAACCGCAGCCACGCTATCCCCACAGGGACCCCTGCCAGCCAGGCCACCCGCAACGGTGTGGGACGTGAGCGCCGTTGCCCCTGGCGGTCCAGCAGCAGGACAGCCCCGAGCAGCCTGGCCTAGGAGGCTCACCGCAGGTAGGACGGGAGGCCGCCAGTCGGGGTTCCCGCTCCATCCCACTCTACCCCTGCCCACTGGCTCAGCCCCGCCTCGTGGTGGCCAATCGGGCAGGGGCTGACCTTTGGCAGACAGTCGCTGTTGGGAACTTTGCTCAGCCCCTGCCTCTGGCTGTGTGACCCCAAGCCAGCCCCTCCTCCTCCTCTCTGGAACCTTCAGTCAGCTGTGGGTTCACTGAGCCTTAAGGTCAGTCATTTTCAAGCCGTAAAAATCTGTGCTCTTGGAAGGTTCAGACCAGCCCCCGGAATTCAAAAGACCTCAGTCACTTTCTAAGATGGCGGGAAGGCGACAAAGGCGCCAGAACACCTGGGCCCATGGCAGAGGGAGAAGGCGGGGACCCCGGGGCGCTCAAAAGCACCTCCCCAGTGCCGGTGTCCCATGAGGCCTCAGTGCTTTCATCGTGACATTTTCATGCAAATGTGGGTGTCTACTGTATTCCATCTCCCAATGGGTTGACTAGAAAAAGAATGTTTTCAGGCCGGGCGCGGTGGCTCAAGCCTGTAATCCCAGCACTTTGGGAGGCCGAGACGGGCGGATCACGAGGTCAGGAGATCGAGACCATCCTGGCTAACCCGGTGAAACCCCGTCTCTACTAAAAAATACAAAAAACTAGCCGGGCGAGGTGGCGGGCGCCTGTAGTCCCAGCTACTTGGGAGGCTGAGGCAGGAGAATGGTGTAAACCCGGGAGGCGGAGCTTTCAGTGAGCTGGGATCCGGCCACTGCACTCCAGCCCGGGCGACAGAGCGAGACTCCATCTCAAAAAAAAAAAAAAAAAAAAAAAAAGATAATGTTTTCTGTCACTTCCCGCTGAGAAAAGCAAGGGCCTCATGGGGTTGGGGCACGGCACCTGCTGCCCTGGGTGGCCCCAGCGTTTATCGTGCTGTAGTGTGGGCCCAATCCTGACAGGCTTGGGACCCACTGCCCCAGGCCTGCCCCAGGGGGTGCGAGGGCACAGCCAAGGCAACCCTTGATTCTGGACCCTTAGGTACCACGTTGGAGGGGGCCAGATTCGGCAGGAGCAGGACGGGGACATCGAATTTGAAAGAAGGGAGTCACTCCAAAAGCTGGGAGGGGCATTAGCTGCAGGAGGACTGAGTGGGGCTGAGACGCCCCCCGTATCAGAGGGGGCATGTCAGAGCTAGGGGTCCAGGCTGTGCGAGTCAGAGTGGAACTTCGGGATTCAGGTGTGGGTCCCTCCACTGACCCTGCCTGAGCTCTCCCTGTATGGGACTTCGCTGGGGGTGTGCACTGGGAACACAGACCCCGGCATCGTCAGGCTCAGTGTCTGGAGAGGAAGGGGGAGACCCCAGCAGCGCAGGTCCTTCCCTGCTCTAGATTGTTGGAAAGTGCCAAGTGCCTTGGAGCAAAGCAAGTGGGAAAGTGGCCACGGGGGCCCGGGGGTTGCAGATGTAAGTGGGGTGACGTGGAGGGCGTTTCTCCTGAGGCCACGGCCAGCACAGAACCCAGCTTTGCTGCCACAGAAAACTGAAGAAGAAGGTTCAGGTCTTGCTACATCGTCCTCCCCACCTGGGCGAAGTCTCTTAAGCTCCGGCTCCTGGAGGGACGCTTTTGTTCCTTGCAGCCTGAACTGCCTGAGTTGATCTGTGCCCCTGCGGGTGCCTGGGGACAGGTGGGGAAGAAGAGACAGAGCTGCCAGAGCCAAGCAAATAGTGCCCCAAGCTGGGAAGGAGACTGGTTTATTTTGTCGGTGAGAGTTCTTTAAGGGCTGGAGACCTTCACCCTCAGCTTCCACAGAAGGCTGGGCCTGCCCAAGGCACAGCTGTGAGGTGGGTTCAACCCAGAGAGACCCCCAGTGCTGGGCTCGCACAGACCTCCAACTCCTGCCTCGGTGACCCAGACATAACAGAGGCCCCACGAGGCGGGGCAGGTCACACCACAGGAGTTACTGGGCAGAGTGTGGCTGGGTAGGGCCTGCCCTCCCTGGACGTGTTCAAAAAGGCCAGGATGGTAACCCCAGCCACACTGCCTGGGTTCAAATCCACCTCTGTCCTAGCTGTGTGACCGAGAACAAGCTCCTTAACCTCTCTGTGCCTTAGTTTCCTCATCTGTTAAATGATGATGAAAGAATGGACCTTCCTCATGGTGGGCAGAGGGAGTCGTGTGGACTAAATGAGCTGACATGCCCACGGGTTCTTATCTGAGCTCTCTGGGACAGTTGTGTTCCAGAACCTTCTGCATTCTGGCCCCATTGTCGGACGCGTAGTCTGTATGTGACGTGGCACCCATGGCAGGTCTGGGCTGCATCACATTGTCAAACATATTGTTTTAGGCAGCAAAGCACATGGGTGTTCACAGTAAGAGAAGTAAAGTCTGTAAATAGCCACATGACCCTCCTCCACGCCAGGGTTGTCCCAGATGAGTTCAGGACAGGTTGGCGTTTGCCCCTCCCCCTGAGGAAAATGGCTGACAAGGAATCGTGGGCCAGGACAGCGAGCCCTGAGATGGGCCTGGCCTGCCAGCACCCTCGCAGCCTCGGCCTTGGCTGGTGCTTTTCTGTGGCTTTCTGGTTGTCTAGGCTGAGAAGAGCCACAAGAGGGAGCACCTGAGACTCCAGGAAAAGCCAAGGCAGCCGCGGTACCCACTGCTTGATCTGCAGGGCCCGAGGCAAAATGCAGACACAGGATCCCTTTTTTAGAATTTATGAAGGACTTTAAGATGGCGACGCCAGATCATTAAAGCAAGTGTGGGGCCTGTCTCAACGCAACTGCACGAATCACACAACATGAAGATGGACCCCGCGGGGGAGCACCCTTGTCTTGAGCTGGTTTCCCTTGGCCAGTAGCCCAGGCTCCGTCCCTGCCCTGCACCCCCCTGACCCCAGCCCTAGCCTTGGGACCTGCCCAGGGGCTCCAGCTGGGTTCAGAGCACAGCTCCTTCTCCGTGGGGCAGGACCCTGAGCTGAATGGGTGGCAAGATCATGTTTGGGACACAGTTTTTACCAGCTCAGTGAAAAAGGGCTCGGGCAGATTTAATTCACTTTTTGGAAACTAAAGCAGCGCCAGAGGCATTTATCTTAGGCCTTAGGCCAGCTGGCCTTGTTGGGGACCCACACAAGACTTTCAAGGAGGGCCCAGAGTGTTCAGGCTTCTCAAAAGGGTCAGAGGAACTAATAGAGGAGGATGAGAGCTGAGGAGGGTGAGAGCTGAGGAGGCCTGCAGGACCCCGATGTTTAAGGGGACAGGTGGAGGGAAAGATGGGGAGCTGGGAGGGGTGAGGCAGAAGCCAGAAGTTTTGGGGGTGAGCCCATGACAACCAGGGCTTCAGCAGAAATGGGGTGGGAGGGGGTGAGGGGATGACTGCTGAGTTGTAGCCATTGGAGTGGCCACAGGGAAACCATAGGACATTGGTCAGAGGTGTGGACAAGGGGAAAAGAGAAAGCCGATAAGGACATTATAGAGGCTGGGAGCAGAGGACCTTCTGGGAGCCC